TATTATAAATAATAAATAAAAGCCAGACACCTGGATGTAGTCATGGACTTGGACCTGCATTTTAACAGCCACATTAAGGTACAAACAAAGTCAGCCTCCTACCATCTTAATAATGTATAAAGTCCGAATGAGGATTTGGAAATACTGGTCGATGCATTTAACTGAAGAAGACTTGATTACTAATAATTGTTTATCGCAGGTCTTAGAAAGAAAATTGCTCAACAGCTGCAGCTGATTCAGGACGTTGCTGCTCGAGTCCTCACTAACAAGAGAGTGGATCACATCACTGCCGTTTGAAATCTTTACACTGGCCTTACTCTGGTCAGTCAGAGTCACAATTAAACATGGAGAAGCAGCGTTCAGGTATTATGCTCCATATATCTGGAACACACTACCAGAACACTGCAGGTTAGCTGGAAGTCTCTTTTCTTTTAAACCCAGGGGGAGGACTTGTTTAATTGCCATTGCTTTTTAACAAAACTATTTATATCTTATCCTTGTATTTCTAACCCGTCTTGTCCTATTTTGGATTGTTTTAGTGAGTGTTCTCCTGGCTTTTTAATTAATTTCCCAAAATGTATTTAAATTAAGTGCATGCGTAAATGCCAAGTGAGTATTTTTCTGAAAAGGTTTATATTTAAAAATATTTTGGATAATTATTTTTACAAGAGCAGGAACTCTCCTCAGAATTTAAAATATATTTTTGTTTAAATTATATATGTGTGAGTGAATATTATTCACATTATAACTGAACCTGCTACTGGCAGCTCAGACTTTTTACAATTTGTATTCCCACTTTTACTGACGATTCAATTTAGTAAAACTCACAACCCTCTTACAGTTACATTGCTTCTCAAAATGCCAGTGTTGCAGACTTTTAAGAATATTTTTGTCATTTTACAAGTTATCAGGGGAGAGCGCGAACGCAGTCCCCCACTACCACAAATTATGCAATCGAGATTCCCACATTTGAGGAATTCGCAGAGGTCAGCTCGACCGGTGTGCAATGGCCAAGCCTCGCCCTGGGTGAACCACCTTCTTGATCATGGTATCTCCCTTGCCAGGTAAGTATGAGTTGTACACATCGGACACAGGCAGCTCATTCACACACATGATACACTGAATAATGGTGCTGCAAATATAGAGACTACCAAAAACAAAGACATATAAAAAGAGGAGGATTATCTACAGGGAATTTAACACAAAATACTGTCTTTTGTACGTAAGATGACAAAGATCTTTACATTTATCTTGGATATAACAGGGGTATATCCCATGATGCAATGCTGTATTTCCATATGAAAAGACAACAAACAAAGCACTAGTCGTATCAATTTTACTCCAACAATTGAGAAACAATCAACCAGTAAGTTTAGATAAATCGAGAATATATAATACTGTATTGAAAAGTTGTTCTATTCACGTTTATAATTTAGAGAAAATGCAAAAAACACATGTCTTCCTCGTCTTTCTCCCCCCAACTCATAATTTGATGCATAAGAGCTTTCTTCAATTTAACAAACATAAAAACGAGATAATTAGTTATTGAGGCCAAGAAGTAATGAACAAAAGACAGCGCTCAGTTTCAATCAGTAATATTATAAATAATAAATAAAAGCCAGACACCTGGATGTAGTCATGGACTTGGACCTGCATTTTAACAGCCACATTAAGGTACAAACAAAGTCAGCCTCCTACCATCTTAATAATGTATAAAGTCCGAATGAGGATTTGGAAATACTGGTCGATGCATTTAACTGAAGTAGATTTGATTACTAATAATTGTTTATTGCAGGTCTTAGAAAGAAAATTGCTCAACAGCTGCAGCTGATTCAGGACGTTGCTGCTCGAGTCCTCACTAACAAGAGAGTGGATCACATCACTGCCGTTTGAAATCTTTACACTGGCCTTACTCTGGTCAGTCAGAGTCACAATTAAACATGGAGAAGCAGCGTTCAGGTATTATGCTCCATATATCTGGGACACACTACCAGAACACTGCAGGTTAGCTGGAAGTCTCTTTTCTTTTAAACCCAGGGGGAGGACTTGTTTAATTGCCATTGCTTTTTAACAAAACTATTTATATCTTATCCTTGTATTTCTAACCCGTTTTGTCCTATTTTGGATTGTTTTAGTGAGTGTTCTCCTGGCTTTTTAGTTAATTTCCCAAAATGTATTTAAATTAAGTGTAATATATATGGTTCCTTTTGCACTACGTCCTAATGCTTTTAAAGTATTTTTGTCAAGCTCTTTAGTTGCATGCTGTTGACATGTGCTCTTAAATACACTTCCTGCCATAAAATAAACAACTTCTGGCAGCTTTTTCTTGGACAATACTTTCCAGCTCCGACAACAAGATTTATACACATTGTAATAAACAGGGTTCTTACACCTTTTCCAAAGTCAAATTCAAGCACTTTTCAAGCATTTTCAAGGTGCATTTTCAAGCTTTTCAAGCATCTTACAGCTGTTGTAAATTACATATTTATATACACATACTTATACTCAAATGATTATTTCCCTACCTCACATTAAATCAGATGTTCTTTATGCTATAAACAACCAAATGTGTGTTTCATAATAGCATTCTACATGAGGATGAAAATAAAAAATGTTAGAAAAGAAAACTAAGTTTAATATTTCAAAATGTGTGACCCATCTGTACTGGGCATCCCATATAACCTGGCTGAGCCAATATAAAACAATCAGCCAAATAACTTTTCAATATATTATTGATGACTATTTTTGAGGTACTTTTAGGTTGGCAGTAAACACAAGTCAGAGGTAAATGGTGTACTTTGACTCCACTACATGTATTTAATACCTTTAGTTACTTTACAGATGTGGATGAATGATGTGAAATATAATCAAGTGTTAAATCAGACTTTAGTTCCACCTGGAGTAAATTCACAAGCTACTCTGTAGTATACAAAGTCATTCAAACTAGCTGCAACTTTACCAGCTTTGATAACACTTTCATGATCAATCATTATAAAACATATCATATACAATTATTAGGGATGCTCCGATCGCCAATTTTGGAGCCGATCGCCGGAATCAGTATCGGCCGATACCGATATCGCTCTCTTTTCCTCTCTCCCCCTCTCTCTCTCCTGACAGCCCGTCAGTATCTCCTGCAGCTCACTGATCCAGTAATGAGCGACCCGACAGTGAAGAATAAATATATTTTAACTAGTTTAGCTTGTTCCAGAGGTAGATAAAATAGCTAAGTGTGTTAGGTCTAACTCTTAATGTGTGTTCTGCTCCGCTCACCGGTCCGTCACAGCGGGTGGAGCTGCAGGATTTCTGCTTCACACACGCGTTGCATACCACTATTTTATTGTCATTTTCGGACACTTAAAATACTGCCAGACTAGTGAAGCCATTTTGGCGAGCTTGTTTTGCCGCGCACAGAGAAAAGTGTCATGTATTTTACATGCAACGTTAGCCTAATCTAAAATGTTCTACTACAGCGTACCTTTTGTGTGGTGTGTGGCTCGTCAGCGCAGACTCTCGCATCGTTATTGTTGCACACTTTGCAGGAGGCTACTCTTGGGCTTCGCTTGACCCTCGTCTTAGCCATGGCTTGTATTTGTCTTCTGCTAGCCAACGCTCGTTGAAACGGCAACCTCCTGGCATACTGTCATCTATCACTCATCAGAATGCCCAGGTCACACACGTAACAAAAACACTTGCAGGTCACGCGCATAGCGCGGGACGGCCGGAGCGGAGCTGTTTTATGTAAAAGCGAAGCAATTAAGCGCGCTCCGACTTCTTTATTTTCTTTTAATCTAAAAAGCGAAGTAAAGCATTTACAATTTCAAGCACTTTATCCCAAATTCAAGCACCATTCCCAAAATTCAAGCACTTTTCAAACCTTGAAAACACCTCAACAATTTCAAGCATTTTCAAGGATTTCCAGCACCCGTACGCACCCTGAATAAAGTAAAAAAAACCTGTTGATACACTCGTGGAAAGAATATGACTATTTACCCACAATAAAGATGTAGGGATATTTCCTGGAAGTACTGCAATAACAGTTAGATGCGATTGGACAAAACAAGTCCCCATACAACTCTAGGTTCCGAAAATCGACATATTAAACGGTCAGAGCATGCGTAAATGCCAAGTGAGTATTTTTCTGAAAAGGTTTATATTTAAAAATATTTTGGATAATTATTTTTACATGAGCAGGAACTCTCAGAATTTAAAATATATTTTTGTTTAAATTATATATGTGTGAGTGAATATTATTAACATTATAACTGAACCTGCTACTGGCAGCTCAGACTTTTTACAATTTGTATTCCCACTTTTACTGACGATTCAATTTAGTAAAACTCACAACCCTCTCAGTTACATTGATTCTCAAAATGCCAGTGTTGCAGACTTTTAAGAATATTTTTGTCATTTTACAAGTTATCAGGGGAGAGCGCGAACGCAGTCCCCCACTACCACAAATTATGCAATCGAGATTCCCACATTTGAGGAATTCGCAGAGGTCAGCTCGACCGGTGTGCAATGGCCAAGCCTCGCCCTGGGTGAACCACCTTCTTGATCATGGTATCTCCCTTGCCAGGTAAGTATGAGTTGTACACATCGGACACAGGAAGCTCATTCACACACATGATACACTGAATAATGGTGCTGCAAATTAGAGACTACCAAAAACAAAGACATATAAAAAGGGGAGGATTATCTACAGGGAATTTAACACAAAATACTGTCTTTTGTACGTAAAATGACAAAGATCTTTACATTTAACTTGGATATATATCAGGGGCATATCCCATGATGCAATGCTGCATTTCCATATCAAAAGACAACTAAAAATCACTAGTTGTATCAATTTTACTCCAACAATTGAGCAACAATCAACCAGTAAGTTTAGATAAATCGAGAATATATAATACTGTATTGAAAAGTTGTTCTATTCACGTTTATAATTTAGAGAAAATGCAAAAAACACATGTCCCACATTTACAACCCCCACAACTCACATTTCAAACACTTCCTCTCTCTTTATTTGCTGCTGGTGGCGGGCAACTGACATTCTGGTACTGCCATCTAGTGGTCTGGAGTGGTAACAATGATGGTTCTGCAAATATAAAGGCAACGCATTAACACAAACAGCAGCCTCCAAAATAAACCCATCTTTCTAACAGTTTAAACAATAACTAAACATGATGTGTTAATATACATGAAATGATGATTCAATTACAAGCACTGAGTAAATGCATTCACAAATCAATAATTTGATGCGTAAGAGCTTTCTTCAATTTAACAAAGATAAAAACGAGATAATTAGTTATTGAGGCCAAGAAGTAATGAACAAAAGACAGCGCTCAGTTTTAATCAGTAATATTATAAATAATGAATAAAAGCCAGACACCTGGATGTAGTCATTGACTTGGACCTGCATTTTAACAGCCACATTAAGGTACAAACAAAGTCAGCCTCCTACCATTTTAATAATGTATAAAGTCCGAATGAGGATTTGGAAATACTGGTCGATGCATTTAACTGAAGTAGACTTGATTACTAATAATTGTTTATTGCAGGTCTTAGAAAGAAAATTGCTCAACAGCTGCAGCTGATTCAGGACGTTGCTGCTCGAGTCCTCACTAACAAGAGAGTGGATCACATCACTGCCGTTTGAAATCTTTACACTGGCCTTACTCTGGTCAGTCAGAGTCACAATTAAACATGGAGAAGCAGCGTTCAGGTATTATGCTCCATATATCTGGAACACACTACCAGAACACTGCAGGTTAGCTGGAAGTCTCTTTTCTTTTAAACCCAGGGGGAGGACTTGTTTAATTGCCATTGCTTTTTAACAAAACTATTTATATTTTATCCTTGTATTTCTAACCCGTCTTGTCCTATTTTGGATTGTTTTAGTGAGTGTTCTCCTGGCTTTTTAGTTAATTTCCCAAAATGTATTTAAATTAAGTGTAATATATATGGTTCCTTTTGCACTACGTCCTAATGCTTTTAAAGTATTTTTGTCAAGCTCTTTAGTTGCATGCTGTTGACATGTGCTCTTAAATACACTTCCTGCCATAAAATAAACAACTTCTGGCAGCTTTTTCTTGGACAATACTTTCCAGCTCCGACAACAAGATTTATACACATTGTAATAAACAGGGTTCTTACACCTTTTCCAAAGTCAAATTCAAGCACTTTTCAAGGTGCATTTTCAAGCTTTTCAAGCATCTTACAGCTGTTGTAAATTACATATTTATATACACATACTTATACTCAAATGATTATTTCCCTACCTCACATTAAATCAGATGTTCTTTATGCTATAAACAACCAAATGTGTGTTTCATAATAGCATTCTACATGAGGATGAAAAATAAAAAATGTTAGAAAAGAAAACTAAGTTTAATATTTCAAAATGTGTGACCCATCTGTACTGGGCATCCCATATAACCTGGCTGAGCCAATATAAAACAATCAGCCAAATAACTTTTCAATATATTATTGATGACTATTTTTGAGGTACTTTTAGGTTGGCAGTAAACACAAGTCAGAGGTAAATGGTGTACTTTGACTCCACTACATGTATTTAATACCTTTAGTTACTTTACAGATGTGGATGAATGATGTGAAATATAATCAAGTGTTAAATCAGACTTTAGTTCCACCTGGAGTAAATTCACAAGCTACTCTGTAGTATACAAAGTCATTCAAACTAGCTGCAACTTTACCAGCTTTGATAACACTTTCATGATCAATCATTATAAAACATATCTTATAAAACGGACACGTCAAATCAAGCAATCTGATTGGTTCTTAGCCGTGATATACTGAGCGTATACCACGGGTAGAATTGTAAGTTACTTTTCACAACAAGTCAGTATCCCTCCGCGTCTGAGAAAAACAATATACAGTTGGGCTGAAAAGCAAACTGCTTGCAGTTTGCTTTTCAAACTGGAACAAGAAAGCAGCGGAGAAGTAACGGGGCAGAAACCCTCCTTTTTACGCAGCGGTCCAGACATAGACATCAAACGGCAAAAACATATTCAGTGTGCAGTTCCTTTGGCATTAGGGCAGGGATATTTAGATACTTTCCAAGGTTTGACATTAATTGTGCTACTTTTAAAGCAAGCAACGATGTTTTCAAATCTGTAATCAAAAAGGTCCGCAAAAACATTTAAGATGAACTTCGACCTCCGGGGGGGTCTTACTATGGAGGAGTGGATTGAGGAGTGCCTATCTCCAGAACAAAAAGCACCTAAACGACGACATGTAGAGCTACGTGAAGAGCAGGTAGTAGACCAACTGGAAAAGTATCACCATTCACCAGCTTTCTGATGCGGGTCTTGAAACAAAGCAGAGAAATTATGACCGTTAGTGGCCACAGGTGCGAAAGCTCTCTCCAGAGCTACTGGAAGCCGAATCTCGGGGACCGGAGAAAGTGGAGCAATATTCTCTCCACGCCAAGCAACAGCCTAGAACAACCTCAGCCTATACAAGTAACCACGTAAGCCATGCTACTGATGCTGGACAGTTTTTCAGTGGGTGCACAATAAACGGCAACATACACATTAATGTAAATAAATAGCCAAATAATGGATCAACGCTCTCCGTCTAATATGTTCGCTAGCTGTTGTTAGTGTTGTTGCATAGCAACCACCTCGCACTATGTTTCGTGCAGAAGGCAACGGAGGGACTATTTTATTTTGAACATCATTATTTACTAATAACAACTATTTAAATTAGAGTGTGTATTTTTCTTTCATATTGCCACACTTGGTAACCGTTTTATAAAAGCAATAGCTCACTTCAGGCCGTGATATATGGCCATTATATCACAGTTAAGGGGGTTGTCGACCCTCCGCTTCGCGTCGGGCCGAACCACGCCCCTTAACTGTGATATAATGGCCATATACCACGGCCTGTCGTGAGCTATTGCTTAAATATACAATTATTAGGGATGCTCCGATCGCCAATTTTGGAGCCGATCGCCGGAATCAGTATCGGCCGATACCGATATCGCTCTCTTTTCCTCTCTCCCCCTCTCTCTCTCCTGACAGCCCGTCAGTATCTCCTGCAGCTCACTGATCCAGTAATGAGCGACCCGACAGTGAAGAATAAATATATTTTAACTAGTTTAGCTTGTTCCAGAGGTAGATAAAATAGCTAAGTGTGTTAGGTCTAACTCTTAATGTGTGTTCTGCTCCGCTCACCGGTCCGTCACAGCGGGTGGAGCTGCAGGATTTCTGCTTCACACACGCGTTGCATACCACTATTTTATTGTCATTTTCGGACACTTAAAATACTGCCAGACTAGTGAAGCCATTTTGGCGAGCTTGTTTTGCCGCGCACAGAGAAAAGTGTCATGTGTTTTACATGCAACGTTAGCCTAATCTAAAATGTTCTACTACAGCGTACCTTTTGTGTGGTGTGTGGCTCGTCAGCGCAGACTCTCGCATCGTTATTGTTGCACACTTTGCAGGAGGCTACTCTTGGGCTTCGCTTGACCCTCGTCTTAGCCATGGCTTGTATTTGTCTTCTGCTAGCCAACGCTCGTTGAAACGGCAACCTCCTGGCATACTGTCATCTATCACTCATCAGAATGCCCAGGTCACACACGTAACAAAAACACTTGCAGGTCACGCGCATAGCGCGGGACGGCCGGAGCGGAGCTGTTTTATGTAAAAGCGAAGCAATTAAGCGCGCACCGACTTCTTTATTTTCTTTTAATCTAAAAAGCGAAGTAAAGCATTTACAATTTCAAGCACTTTATCCCAAATTCAAGCACCATTCCCAAAATTCAAGCACTTTTCAAACCTTGAAAACACCTCAACAATTTCAAGCATTTTCAAGGATTTCCAGCACCCGTACGCACCCTGAATAAAGTAAAAAAAACCTGTTGATACACTCGTGGAAAGAATATGACTATTTACCCACAATAAAGATGTAGGGATATTTCCTGGAAGTACTGCAATAACAGTTAGATGCGATTGGACAGAACAAGTCCCCATACAACTCTAGGTTCCGAAAATCGACATATTAAACGGTCAGAGCATGCGTAAATGCCAAGTGAGTATTTTTCTGAAAAGGTTTATATTTAAAAATATTTTGGATAATTATTTTTACATGAGCAGGAACTCTCAGAATTTAAAATATATATGTGTGAGTGAATATTATTAACATTATAACTGAACCTGCTACTGGCAGCTCAGACTTTTTACAATTTGTATTCCCACTTTTACTGACGATTCAATTTAGTAAAACTCACAACCCTCTCAGTTACATTGATTCTCAAAATGCCAGTGTTGCAGACTTTTAAGAATATTTTTGTCATTTTACAAGTTATCAGGGGAGAGCGCGAACGCAGTCCCCCACTACCACAAATTATGCAATCGAGATTCCCACATTTGAGGAATTCGCAGAGGTCAGCTCGACCGGTGTGCAATGGCCAAGCCTCGCCCTGGGTGAACCACCTTCTTGATCATGGTATCTCCCTTGCCAGGTAAGTATGAGTTGTACACATCGGACACAGGAAGCTCATTCACACACATGATACACTGAATAATGGTGCTGCAAATTAGAGACTACCAAAAACAAAGACATATAAAAAGGGGAGGATTATCTACAGGGAATTTAACACAAAATACTGTCTTTTGTACGTAAAATGACAAAGATCTTTACATTTAACTTGGATATATATCAGGGGCATATCCCATGATGCAATGCTGCATTTCCATATCAAAAGACAACTAAAAATCACTAGTTGTATCAATTTTACTCCAACAATTGAGCAACAATCAACCAGTAAGTTTAGATAAATCGAGAATATATAATACTGTATTGAAAAGTTGTTCTATTCACGTTTATAATTTAGAGAAAATGCAAAAAACACATGTCCCACATTTACAACCCCCACAACTCACATTTCAAACACTTCCTCTCTCTTTATTTGCTGCTGGTGGCGGGCAACTGACATTCTGGTACTGCCATCTAGTGGTCTGGAGTGGTAACAATGATGGTTCTGCAAATATAAAGGCAACGCATTAACACAAACAGCAGCCTCCAAAATAAACCCATCTTTCTAACAGTTTAAACAATAACTAAACATGATGTGTTAATATACATGAAATGATGATTCAATTGCAAGCACTGAGTAAATGCATTCACAAATCAATAATTTGATGCGTAAGAGCTTTCTTCAATTTAACAAAGATAAAAACGAGATAATTAGTTATTGAGGCCAAGAAGTAATGAACAAAAGACAGCGCTCAGTTTTAATCAGTAATATTATAAATAATGAATAAAAGCCAGACACCTGGATGTAGTCATGGACTTGGACCTGCATTTTAACAGCCACATTAAGGTACAAACAAAGTCAGCCTCCTACCATCTTAATAATGTATAAAGTCCGAATGAGGATTTGGAAATACTGGTCGATGCATTTAACTGAAGTAGACTTGATTACTAATAATTGTTTATTGCAGGTCTTAGAAAGAAAATTGCTCAACAGCTGCAGCTGATTCAGGACGCTGCTGCTCGAGTCCTCACTAACAAGAGAGTGGATCACATCACTGCCGTTTGAAATCTTTACACTGGCCTTACTCTGGTCAGTCAGAGTCACAATTAAACATGGAGAAGCAGCGTTCAGGTATTATGCTCCATATATCTGGGACACACTACCAGAACACTGCAGGTTAGCTGGAAGTCTCTTTTCTTTTAAACCCAGGGGGAGGACTTGTTTAATTGCCATTGCTTTTTAACAAAACTATTTATATCTTATCCTTGTATTTCTAACCCGTCTTGTCCTATTTTGGATTGTTTTAGTGAGTGTTCTCCTGGCTTTTTAGTTAATTTCCCAAAATGTATTTAAATTAAGTGTAATATATATGGTTCCTTTTGCACTACGTCCTAATGCTTTAAAAGTATTTTTGTCAAGCTCTTTAGTTGCATGCTGTTGACATGTGCTCTTAAATACACTTCCTGCCATAAAATAAACAACTTCTGGCAGCTTTTTCTTGGACAATACTTTCCAGCTCTAACAAGATTTATACACATTGTAATAAACAGGGTTCTTACACCTTTTCCAAAGTCAAATTCAAGCATTTTCAAGGTGCATTTTCAAGCTTTTCAAGCATCTTACAGCTGTTGTAAATTACATATTTATATACACATACAACCCCTATACTGCCAACCGCGCCTCCAACCCCCAGCCACATCTCTAGCAACACAGGTATCTGAGAAGCACACTTTAAAAAAATGGGCAGAGCGAGAAAGATTTACAATACATTACAGTCACGGCCAAACTTTAACAAAGCCTTATACAAAACACCGCTATCGAACTAAAACATTTGTGACAATCATACAACCAACCATCAATCTGGAAAAGAAAATAAGTTATGCGCATTTTTCTTCGGGGGAAACTGTTAACAGGTGGTCTGTCTATCCTCAGTTGTAGCAGTTAGTCTCACTGGCTTGACTGCAATGCACCGCAACGTGGCCAATGTCGCCACACCTGTAACATTTCACCTTATTACAACGTCTCTGGATGTGACCAAGCCCACCGCAGGAGTAGCACTTCCGGTCGTTGGCATGCCCAGTCACGAGCCATGTGTCCTTGGTCTCCACACCGATAACAGAACATTTCCTTGCCTCGTCCCCTGCTGCTGCTGCTGCCGCCACGACCACCATCAACGCCACCATCAACGCCGCCATCAACGCCACCACCGCCACCAGGACCACCATCAACGCCGCCGCCACCACGACCACCATCAACACCGCCGCCAGTGGGGCAATGCTTGGCCTTTTGGTTTCTAAACAACATCGTTTTGGCCATAGCATGCGTGATCACGCAGGAGGACGTGACCTCTGGCACCACTGTAGAGCTCTCCTCAAACCCAGACTCAATCAGACCACCAGTCACTAAAAATGCAGGGAGAACATCAGTCCAGACTCTGCTACCTGCCAAACCGTTGCCCAGAATGAAATGTATCCCCTCGATTGGCAAAGCTGGACGTACACCAACAGCTACTTCACCTTTAACAAGGTCACAGTCAATATACATCTTATGAACAGGAATAGGAAGAACTTTTAATCCCATCCCCCAACTCAGAACTGTGTCACCTGTGTCACTTTCATCAGACAAAGGCAAAACAGAGTCAACAATATAGGAGTCAAAAGCCCCTGTGTCCCGCAAGATTTTGATTGGAACTCTGACATTACCACCTACCAATGACACCAAGCAGTCTCGTATAAATGGAGCATAAAATGCCAAAACCTCAGATCCACATAAGTGGGATGTAAGCACATCGGCAACACCGCAGCTTTTCACAGGAGCAGCCAACACAACAGGCCCAACAAAATATCTTCCTCCCTCAGATTTTGCTCTCAGCGCAGGACATTCTGCCTTCCAATGGCCTTTTTCACGACAGTAGTGGCAATTATCAATGTTCACCATTTTGTCCACATCAGATTTGACCAAACCCAATTTCCTTGGATCCATCCCAAACAAACCAACAGCCTTTCTACTTCCTTCAAAAACAGTTAGGGCCCGAGAGCACCCTCCGGACCTGCTCTTATGAAGCAACACAAACTCATCAGCTGCCACAGCAGCTCCAACCGCAGAAGTTTTCTTGTGTTCTGTTATGTATGTGGCAATGCTATCAGGAATAATATTTTTGAACTGTTCCAAAATCATGAGTTCACACAAATCGTCAAAAGAAGCAATGTCAAGAGCAGTTAACCAACGCTTAAAATGAACAGACAAATCCCTCGCCATCTCCACATATGTTTGACCTTGTTTATGCTCAAAGGACCTAAAACGCTGTCGATAGGCCTCTGGCACCAGTTCATATGCTCTAAGCACCGCCAATTTTATTTTAATATAGCTAGAGCTATCTTCCAGACATAAAGAGGAATATGCGGACTGTGCTCTTCCTGTGAGAACACACTGAAGCATCAGAGCGCAGTCTGCATCAGGCCAATCTCTAGCTCTACGTTCAAATAACAAAAAAAACGTGTCAGGATCACTTTCATTAAAGTGAGGTAACAAGCGCAAGTTATTAACAACAAAACGATGAGGAGACCAGAGGCCTGTACTACGAAGCTGGATTTTCCTAACCTGGATATGTTTGAGTTAGCCGGTTGGCCTAATCCAAAACATACGCGCTGGCGCTAAGCTGTACTACGACGCCGGTTATCAAGTGGATCGCTCAAGCCAGCCGTGTCCTATCTAGTTAGGTGCGCGTTCACATAAAAGGGGTGGTATTTGGAGCATTCGACCAATCGGAATCGTGGAGAAACCACGAGCTACATATTTCACGGCCGAGGAGCAGACAGTAATTATGAGCCGCTATGAAGATCTTAAACACATCTTGAAAGCCAAAAGCAGTACCCTTGCGGCTGCCAAACGTCGCCAACAATGTTGGCAGGACATTGCAGACTCCGTGAATGCGTAAGTAAAATAAGTATGTATATATATATATATATATATATATATATATATATATATATAGGCCTATAGGCTATATGCAACAGCGTGCAGAGCTGCACATCTTTAAAAAGTGTATTGGATGCACGCCAGTCATGTACAAAAATAAATCCGGCGCTTCCAGATTAATGTTCTACTTTATAGGATAAATAGACCAAATTGATCATTGAGTGGCAGCCTTTTTTGCATTATAATATCATCGACCGAGGGTCACAAGTGGACTTTAAGCCTAATATTTTTGTAATCCTTTTCATTTATAGAACTTTTTTTTAATTCAAGCTGTACATGACGTTTTTTTTTCGTTTTTCAGATGTAACCCTGGCGGGTCTAAAAGGACTTGGGAGCAAATGAGTGAAATATAAAAACATCATTCAATCTGGTAAATTTCCCTCTTTTGCGATCTTAAAAATATAACTACACGTTTAGTATTGCTTCAATTAGTCTGTGTTTCATAACTGTATAGGAAAGCAGTCACATTTTTTCACAATTCTTGCAGCCAACAAGAAAAGAAATGAGCAGAGGAAGACAGGAGGGGGCCCTCCTCCAGCAGCTTTCACCCCTGCCGAGGAGCTGGCCCTCAGCAAAAATGTGGGTCGGCCCTTGATGGCAGGGGTGGAAGGGGGGGTCTCTACAGACCCTGGTGGCAGCAGCTCACACCACCTTTTTATACAGGGTAAGAGTCAGGGAGCTTTAAACAGCTGGGATGCTATACAACACAATTATATATCTATTTTTGTGGGAGTAAGTGACATGTAGGCCTATTTTATTGTTCTGCAGATGATGGGGAGAACGTGGTGTTGCTGCCCCCCCCAAATCACCCACTACCTCATACAGAGGTAACGTAACCTTTGGTATGTCGCCCTATATGGTCGCTGAATATGGATAACACAGACCATTGACATTTCTTATTTTTTTCAGGAGTGCCTGGATGATGATGAGACGCTGTCTGTGTTCTCAGAGAGCGCTCTGCCGGTATACTTTAGTATTTTGTTACCAATGATATGAACTTCTCAATTTGCCTCAAACACAGACAGAGAGGGTGTGGACACGTTGCTTTAATTGATTAATTAATTTGATTACTTGCACATGGTGGTGGTCTGCACATGGGACAAATGACTACTCTCTATTGAAAAGATATTTGCTGTGCTCAATTTGCAGGAAGAAGGAACTCTTCCACCCTCGCAGCCTGGGCCCTCCACATCTAGGGCCTCCACATCTAGGCCTTCATCACGACAAGTAATTAATTAAACTAAATGTAAAAGTATAGGCAACTTTAAAATGCTCAGCTTTCTTGCTGTGAGCCATGCTTGAATGTTAAAGCAACATATATGTGTTTCATGTGTTTCAGGCTGAAGCAGACTCTGTGAGGGCCCTTTATAAACGGACCCTCGTCCAAACCATCAAAATAAATGCCCAAACCATGGAAATAAATGCCCTACGCATACGAAAAATGAAGTTGGAGGTTGAAAAACTAGAAAGAGAAAGACAGGTAATTTTGTAACATTCTGTCATTTATTTTCAAGTCAAATGAAAGGTGCATAAGGTGACCTTTATCTTTTAGGATACCTAAAAGAGAAATCCCTTTTTTCTTTACTGAAAAAGTAAACCAAAAATAATGTGTTTTTCTCTTTTTCCTTCAGGAATGGCTGACAAAATAAAAACCTACATAAATCACCCAAGGCCTCTGTGTGTTTTTTTTAATGTATTATGCAAATAAGACTGTGATGGCATCTCTGACAGCCCTGCCAGTAGGGTAGTCTAGGGCAGCGACGTGCTGTCAGTGGAGGCAGGGGAGGCAGAGCCTCACCTGTCATACTCCAATGTAACGGAAAAACAATTAAAGAAAAACTAAATAATAATAATAATAAAATATCTCCACTGATCTTGTGTAAATGTGATTTCTGTATTATTCCAATCGCATTTTATAGTCAAAATCAGCAAATTTGCCGAGCTCCGCTACGGGAGCGATGAGAAGTGAGGCAGGGACGTGCTCTGCCTCTCGTAAGCCCACAGTAACTTGCTGGAGCGCGGGCACTAATTTTGTGAGCGCGCTCAAGCCATTTACTGTGGGGTGAGGTGAGGCACAGATCAGCTCTGCCTCACTTCAGAATGCGTCACCCCACAGAAACTGGCTGGAAAGCGGGCCCTAAGCGCATGCCTGTTCCCATCTCACTGTAGGTCACCAATGTAATGTTTGTAGATCCCTTTATTACATTTATCCTCGCCATCCATAGTCTCTAAATAACTTATTTCACGTATATATGATATTTAGGCTCGCTGGTCTCATCGTACAATGGCAATGAAAAAAGCACCAGGGGAGGCAGCCATAACCTCTGCCGCACTGAAGGGGGCGCACGTGAGCCCACAGGTTCTTGTTGCTACTGTTATTCTACCGCAAACAACAAACTAGACTTTTGAAACTACAGGAAGATAAGGAGGACTTTTACAAAACAGTAATAGAGATTGTTGTCCAGAAGGATAGCATGGACTTATATTCATCTTCAAGTCAAGGTAAGACCACAAATGTAATGAAAATGGGATCTTACTTAGAAAAAACAATCCAATATTTAGATTTTGGGTATCCTTTTGTTGAACGGTCTGTTTAAAATGAATCATAGCATCAGACTAAAAAAGCTTTTGAAAATAACAGAATATTTCGATTAAGGTCAAAATAGGCTATAATATTTGTAAATCTGACTCTGAAAGAGTCAGTGCCTCACCAGCCATGAACCTCACCGCACGTCACTGGTCTAGGGTGATGGGGTCGACCACATCTGGAGGTTGGGGGTTTGCAGGAGGGGCCCTCTCCTTCCTCATGGTGGCGATGTTGTGCAGCACAACACAGGCAGTGATAATGCGGCAAGCTCTTTCAGGGGCCACTCTGAGCCCCCGCAGGCAGGTGAATCTGGCCTTCAGTATACCAAAGGTCATTTCTATCCTGACCCTGGTCTTGGCATGGGCCACATTGAAACTGGTTTGTGGCCCTTCACCAGGGTCAGGATAGGGGGTCATGAGGAATGGCTGGCAGGCATAACCCCTGTCCCCGAGCAGCACTCCACTGAAGAGCCCTGAAGAAAAAGGAATATTTCCACAATAAGTACCACAAAAGGCAGCTTAAGAAGCACAAAACAATAAGAATGTACAGTTGCCATACCCTGCTCCAGTTTGTGACACAATGATGACTCTGAGAATATCCTTGAGTCATGGACTGATCCAGGCCACTTTGCCTCAAGGCTGGTGATGACACACCTGTGGTCACAGGTGGCCTGCGGTCACAGGTGGCCTGCAAAAGCATGTGGGGTTAACAAGCCTACTTCCACAATAAGAGCATCATAGTCAGTGTAGCATCAATGTTCATTTGAAATACGTCCATGTTATAGATAAAGATAGTCCAAGTGTGACACATGTACTGTGTGAATATTTAAATGTGTGAGTTCCTTTTATCACCCAGACTTCAATGTGTGTTCTGTAAGTGAATGTGCAAGATTTACCTGAATGTTGAGGCTGTGGATGGATTTGCGATTGACATAATCGCCTTCATTTTCTCCCAGGGACGCAGAGATCGGAATGTGTGTGCAGTCAATACAGCCAAGCACCCTGGGAAACCCTATTAAATAGTAGGCTGCATTTATTATACAACAGTGTACGTCATAGGAACAACATTCACTGTAAAGATATAATCGCATATCAATACCTGCCATGCTGTAAAATCCCTCTTTGATCGTCTGCGTGGGACATGTGCCAGGAAACACAATAAAGGACTCTGCGAGCCCTGTCAGAGCATGTGCGACCTTATGAATAGCACTGCAGACTGTATTCTTGCCAAGGTTCTCTGCATCCCCCACGGCATAAAGAAAACTGCCGGTTGCAAAGAATCGCAAAGCAATACATACAGTCTGCGGCACTGTAAGGGCACAACTCCGATGTGTGGCATTAGCAATATATGGCTCGAGGAGCTGACACAGATAAGTCAGCCCTTCTGACGAGAACTTGTATCTTTCATACAAATACTCTTCAGGGAAAGCCAAAGGGTTTATTCTGTCCCTAAATATCCTCTCCAGCCTGAGAGCACCTCTCACAATCTGAGCGCCAAGCTCCACAGTGTCATCCACAAATGCCGACGTCATTTTCACAGAGATCTCATTGGTCGATAGGCGGAGCTTTTATAGGCTGATCTCTTAGCCTGCCCCCTAACCTGCTCCGGAGCAGGTTTGCCGCTCAGCATAAGTTACCATGGAAATCTAGCCTGCTAAAAAGAGAACCAGCGTCGTAGGACCGGAAAGCCCGAGCTTTCCCTGAAGTTAGCCGGCTAAGCGAAAATCCAGCTTCGTAGTACAGGCCTCTGGGCACCTGTTCACCCTGCCCCTCACCGGACAACGCGCCATCTCTGAGCCTAGACAGACGATATCCCTCCATCTCTAGCTTGGCTTTCTCAGATTCTTGTCGAATCCGCTCCACCGTGATTTCCTTTTCAATTTCCAACTCACACTTTATTCTGTCATGTTCCCGGTCATGTTCATACTTTATTCTGTCATGTTCCCGGTCATGTTCATACTTTATTCTGTCATGTTCCCGGTCATGTTCATACTTTATTCTGTCATGTTCCCGGTCATGTTCATACTTTATTCTGTCATGTTCCAGCTGCAACAATAACATTTCTTTCTGCTGCTCAAACGAAAGTGCACTAGCCTGAAAAAGAGGTTTGAACAAAACCTCCTCTTTCTCTGCAGACAACACTCCTGTCTCCCGTAATGTCGACACTATAGAGTCTCTTATGTTCTCTTTCATCCTCTTATCACTGACAATAGACACAGAGAAATGCTCATCAATCAAGAGCAGCTGCTCTTTTGATAAAGTGCAAAGAGACTCCTGAGACGGAGCTTTAATGAATGCTTCTACGTCAGCCATATTATATTACAACGACCCCTCACTGGAACACAACACCGGACTTTTAAACCGAGAGAAGAGCAAAAACTAAACTAAACTAAAACAGACACCACAGCGTTTATTATACGTACCAAGTGGAACAATACTAACTTCTTGATTGGAGTTTCCCCACTAACTATTGACCATCCCACTGACTAATCTCCTCCCTAGTCTTCATGCAGTTACTTGTGGTGGGTATTTATGCACTGGAGACCGCCGGCCAAGCAAAGCGACTAGCAGGCTAGCAACACTACTGAGACCACGGCCATGCTCCCAAGCCGAAGCTTCAACCACTTTCTCTGCAACACTACACACCCCGCTCAACAATCCCAAGGGAACCGCCGCTTAACCTGCCAGGGAAAACTCTGCACTGCTCCACATACAACGCACCAACAAACCCACACGTGTCAACGAGAGAGAAAGGAAAAAAAACAAAAACAAACAGCTGACCACGGCCAAGATCAACTAGCAACCACTCTCCCGAAATATAATACAAAACAAATTAAAGCCTCACAAAGTAATCTAATAAAGTCCCCAAACAACGATCTGAAATATACTGTCCTCCCCACATGCGGTCTAATGAGCCGAAACACAGAAACCGGCCGCACTGCATGCGCTCCCAACACACTTTACACACGCGCACCACTCCTAACACAAATCTTACCTATCTGTTGCTGTAGTACAGATAAGAGAAGCGGCCTACAGCTCAAAATAGCAATGACACAGGGTGCTCCTCTCCACGATCAGTTAAACTACGTCTGCACGCTGCGCATCAGGCAAGTGTGCTAGATGAGACTGGTAGTGGATTTAGCGAATGTCAACGGGGGGGGGGGTGGTAGTGGAGTACAGAGCTTCGTGACCACAGAGCGTGTGAACGTTGTGATCAGCTGTTTAGCGCAGTGCTGCTGTACAGACCGACGTTAACAGCAGCCCTGTCTGTGCACACGGAGACCGACTCTGTCGTCCGGTGATCTAACCGCCTTCTGGAAAAGCTTCACAAGTATGTCGGTACGCAAATGCGCTTTGTGACACAAGTGACGGTACGCATTTCAGATTGTTGCCGCGCATGCGTACCAGTTATGTTATACCAGTTCAATTGTAAAAGCTCTAGAGTGGTGTGAACTTTTTTCTCTTGCATCAGGCGCTAAGATTAATAGGTCCAAGAGTGAAATACTTTACCTTAACTGGAAAGAGGACAAAGTAGATCTGGGGTTAGTTGAAAGAAAGGAAAGGGTGAAAATGTTAGGTATAGAGATTGGTAGAGGCATGGAAAATGTAAATTGGGATAGCAGACTGCCAGCAATTAAAGGGAAACTCCTTAGGTGGGAAGATAGGGCCCTTACATTTACTGGGAAAATCCTTGTCATTAAGGTGGAGATCCTTGCATCACTGACTCATCTAGCAGCCACCCTGCCTGTACCAAGAGCCTTTCAAACAACCTTGAGAAGATCCATTTTTCAATTTATCTGGGGTTCGCATCAGGAGTACTTAAAAAGAGAGATCATGTATAAACCATTAGAAAAGGAGGGAGAGCAGTTCCAGAGCTGGGGGTTAAACTGGAAGCCCTATTTTTAACACAGATTCCAAATGCTGTGTTACCTGAAAAGAACAATAGCCTCTGGACACACTTTACTAAGTGTTTATTTCTGGTATAGGCAAAAGAGCCCCTCTGAACATCCCCCATGCAGAGACTAGGCCAGCATTGTATGGCAGAGCTGTGACCCTCTTTAAGAGAGCCGTCTTAGACAAATCTTCTGTAGGCTTTTTGAACAGAAGCTGTGTTGAAAAAAGCCTCTTACCTCTGACTACAAGCCTAACACCAATAGGCACATTACCAGAAAAAAAATGCCTGCAAGTATGGAAAAATGTAAACTCGCCATTCCTTTTTAACGCCCATAAGGATTTGCATGGAAAACAGCACATAGTTGTCTCCCTACGAAAGCGTTCCTGTACGAGGTCGAGTCTACCGAAGTGCAAAGTCCACAGTCACTGTAGACAGTTACGCCTTCTGATTCGACAAAAGTCTAGTCATTTCCATCCCATTGGAAGTCCACAGTCGCGACTGTAGACTTTGGGCCAATCAGAAGGCTTAACTGTCTACAGTCACTGTACTCGCATGTGATTGGAAGTCTACAGTCGATAAAGTGTTTGGAGTGGGCGGGTTCTCCACGTGATATGAAATTCAAAATTTCAAATCGAGTAAAGGAAAGTTTATACACATCGATCAGCGATCGGGATTGAATGACATAGATATATATATATATATATATATATATGTCTATATATTTGATATTTACCGTCTAATATTAGACACTTTGACTTTACACGTCCCCACCCCACCACTTTGCTCTGCTCGTTTGCTGCGATTGCTGCGAATATCGCTAGCGAAGACTTGGGTTGACGGGTACGTTTTATACTTTTTCTGTAAAGTATACTTTCCACGACACATTACCTTGTGTTTTTCATTACTGTATATATATATATATATATATATATATATATATATATATATATATAAACACACCTTGGCAATGACCCAACGGGACCCGGCCATGTTACTGCTAATGGCCGCTAGTTAGGGCACAGCGTCTTTCAGTCAAATATCTATCAAACTCTAGTTTTAAATGCTATAACGTTACCCACTACAGTTTAAGGCACACTTTCTGTTATGATCCGCGTTATCTTGTGTACAGTATGTCATGTCATTACTTTTAAAAGTGAAAGGCACCGCGTCGCGTCACCGTGGACGCTAGTTAAAGGTTAGCATCGCTCAATGAAACCTCCGTTAAACTAGTTGTATAATTATGCTATAACGTTACCCACTTCACTTTCTGTCATTATCTATCTAATCGCGGGTTAACCAGCTCATTACTGCTTGTGT